CCCTTACCTGGGACTCTCACCACTTCCAGCTTAATGACCTGCACGTCTTGGGATTATGAGGGCAATTGGGACTGCCTGGGATCGCCATCACTAAGCAATGCGGTCATGTGACATTGTGCTTTATGACTGCATCGCTTAGTGACAGCAATCCCAGTCCCAATTGCTGTCGTAACTTGAGGGCTACCTGTACATCCTTTGTATAATTTCAAAATATTTATTTATTTATTAAATGTATAGTTTGCCACAATTCATCACCATACTGGGAGGTTACAAAATAACCTGTTACATAGATTGGTCTAGGCCAGGAGCCAGTGGATTAAATCTGGACCTGTTGGGGGGGAGGGGGTTGTAGGACATTTAAGGTACAGAATGGGTATCTGCAATGCCCTAACAAGGTTAAACACTTTAGATACATGGCATAGGACCAGGTTACTTAAAGGACCCCCTCAAGAACATCTGCCCGCCCCACATACTCCCACAGGGAGGGCATGCCCCAGGTTCCTTCTTTCAAGTCTTGGCATCTTTTGGGACCTAGGGAGCGTGCCGATTAGGGGCCAGTTGTCCCTCCTATGGTTGTTTTGTTGTCTGCTTGGTCACCGTTTTATATTTTGTACTTATATTGTTTGTTTGTTGTTAGATGGGGTTTTTTTTTGTTTTTTCTTTTTGATTTATTGTGCATTTGTGTTGTATGCTGCCCACACTGAGTTGGCCAGCCTTATAAATCTTGAAATAAATAAATATCCATTTGTGCCAGGGTGGCATGTTGGCTTTGTTTCCTGAGATTCCCAGGCAGGCACAAAGGCAACATTTGTTCCATGGACTAACAAAGGTTATCCAACCCTAGTTTAGGTGCAGGTTGTTAACTGGGTGAAGATTTTGAATCCCAGCTGGAATTCTTCTAGAGCTTATTGACCGTGAGTCCATATAATAAATATATTGCCAATGAATCTAGAGAAGGGATTTCTGGGAGCTAAAATGACATTCTGATTTTGCCATAAAATGCTGGCATATGGTGATAGCACTTGACTACAATCTGGCATTATACACGTTTCTCAGAACTAAAGTAGCTGTGGAGTGAGTACCTAATAGCAGAGCTTCTTACAATATTCAAATATGTATTTGCAATGAAACCAAAATACTGGCATAAGGGACACATTGTTGAAGTCAGTACCTTGAACTAGATCTGTCTTGCTTTTAAGAGTTATAGTCTCATGACTGGCTAAAGTCTAGACTTACCCATTTTTGCAGGGGATTTGTATTCAGAAAGATGAATTCCCTTAATGACTGCACACCAGGATATATGGGTGGAACAAAATATTTCGCCTTGAAGGAGAAGAACATCAACTCTTCTTTGGAAAAACAAAGTGGTATTAAAAATAAGCAAACCAAAATTAGTGAGCTGTTTGAAACAACACTGAAAGTGCAAGAAGGAAAACAAGAGTATTCAAATGATCAACATGTCAATGATTCAGATTGTTTTATCTCTTCCGTGAAAGAAAATGATGTGGACTGCAAACAAGGGGAATCTCAAATCCCTACCTCAGACCACAATTGTTCAAATAATTCATTTATTGACCTTACTGATATTTGGGAAGACATGGATGACTTTGAAACAACTGGGCCACAGAAAATATGCCCAGAACAATCTGTATCATTTCGAGATAAGTGGTCTATAAAAAATAGGAAGACTGCAAAAAGCCTGAATCCCTATACCAGCAAGTCAAAGGTATCTAGTACAGGAAGAAATAATGAAGAATGTAATGATATGTATATTTGTAGAAATAGGAAAACACTAATACTTCACAAGGAACAAGAGACAGGTAGCCTGCCTGTTCCTTGTCTTGACCCTTCAAATTCCAGTCAAAGAGAAGATTTTTCAGATGGAGAACCTCAAGAGGTGAAGTCTCTGGAAAGTCACCAGACAGGCAGAAAGGAAAAGTCTTGGAAAGGTAAATTGCTCTTTTTCTAACCAGTAAGGCACAGTTCTGTAGCAGGGATAATTTCTGGGAAAGTGAATTTACTACAATATGTCCCCCTTAAACCTTAAGTTAGGCACTCTCAAGTGAAGCTCACCTCCTATTAATGTATGAACATAGGTTGTCATTATGTTCTTCTGGGGTGTTTTTCAACTTCCCAGTCTAGCGTACAACTCTGGAATTCCTCAGCAGGCTCCAATCCAAGAACTAACCAGGCCCAATGCTGCTTATTTTCCAAGTGTAGTAGAGGTGATGGGAAGATTTATACCCTTGTATGTGCTGATCTTCTGTCACGATATTCTTTCTCCAAGGAGCTCATAGCATATACCTTCCCATCTGTCTTCACATCAGCTGTATTAGGGAGACTTAGATCAGTCTCTCCCTCAGCCTGAAGTCATGCAAAGTGGGTGTCCACAGTCCAAGTCTGACCTCATTCCCTATCATGTTACATGACTAGGTTAAAAAAGAAAAGAAAGAGTTAAAAAAAAAGATAAGAGAGATGTTTCACTACTAATGAACACATCTAATCACAAAAAAATCATTGGATGTACTTAATCCTTGTTGATACTTAGTTGGTGTAATTTCACCTGAAATATTTTTAATGATTGAACATGTTCAGAAAACATTATTTTTCACTGGTCTTTTGTTAAACACGTGCTCTTTTTTGGTGAAAGGACATAATGATTCTGGCTTCCCATTAAGTGGGAATGAAGAACCTGGTGATGGAAGGGACGACCCTGAAATATTCAGTGAGTCCGAAGACTATGTGGACTTCATACCCCCTTCCCCAGAGGAGGATATGCTGCCTGCTTCGTTCTGGCTGAAGAGCGCTAGGTACAGTAGAGTTTATCTTAAGGATTAGTACAAATAGCAAAGGCAGCATTTTTCTAGCACAGTCTCTTGTGGAAATAGCTGGTATTTATATATCTGAATGTCTTGCATGGGTGAATGATCAGAACTCTCACAAAAGACCAAATGATGAAGGTAAAACAATAGAATGATTAAAAAACACATAATAGTGGTATTAGAGCGCATGAGTTTTGTCTCTAAACAACCCCAGAGGAAAGGAAAAATGTTTATCAGTGGCTGCCAGCATATAAACAAGCTTAATGTTTTTGTTTTATTTTTCCCCCTACCACAATCACAATCCTTAAGGCTCCCTTCCTTTCCAATAGCACTGGCCCCAACAGTATCCCGATGTATTTTGTTTTTCAAAATGCACAAAAAATCAGCAAGAACTGGCAACCTCCCAACCACCTTTGCAGTGAGTGGCCTTTCTGTGAATGAAGATGGCTATCTTCGTTAATCTGGAGCATCCCTTATGGGGTGAATTCTTCCCCCAGGTAGTGGCAGACCTGGATAGTTTGATCATGGAAATACAGCCACTAAGAATTGACTTTAAAAATACTTCCTAGATGGTACTACGCCTTTTAAAATTACTTTGTGTCAACTAAAATTTTTCTAGTCAGGAATGGGTGTAATTAAGCTGGTATGTATTATTTTCAAGGGGCGATGCCCATTTTCCAGAGGAGATCATCCAGCAAAAACTGGACCTTCCCTCTTGTCCTTTATCTTCATTCTGGGAAAAGCAGTTCCAACCCTTCACGGCTCATGTTTGCAGGTCTCCATCTGAGCTTGACTGCTTATATTTTCCTCTGCTTGTTTTTGTCCATTGCGGCTGTGGAACAAATAGAACTCAAGTCTTTCCATCAACATGGTGCAGGGCCTTTCTGATGCTTGGATTTAACTACCTTGATTGTAGGAAAGAAGGAAAGAGAAACCATTTTCTTGAGGACAATCTCTCCATAGGAGGCCTCAGCTCTGTTCTTGTCTATAGAGGCATTGGTTTTGCATCGCACACTATCTCCAGTCAGAAGGATCAAAGTGTTGTACCATCAGCAGAAAAGTGCTTCAAGATTCTGCATGGTCCCCAGGAAGAATAGGGCTTGGAAGGCCATCTTGGATTTGAAAAGGATGATACATAAAATAGAATCATAGATTTAAAAGGAACTATTTAGGTTATTGAGGCCTATTCTCTGTCAGAATCCAGATTAAGGCTTCCCTGACAGATGGTTGTCTAGCTACTGCTATAAGACAAAAGAGGAACCCATCGCTTTTCTAGGTACAAGTAGTCCTCATTCAGCAATCACAATTGGGACTGGCAATTCTGTTATTAAGTGAAGCGGTCACTAAGTGGAAACCATGACTGCTTACGTTCTTACTTCAGCTTTCCTTTGCTTTACAGACCTGTGAAGGTCATAAATCTGAGGATTGGTTGCAAAGTTACTTTTTCATCACCGTCGTAACTGCGAGCAGTCGCTAAATGAGGCCTACCAGTAATCGGTTCTGCTGTCAAAAGTTCAGGATGGAATATCTATAGAGCAACATAAGTTATTGGCACATACTGATTCACTGGAGAGTTCTCTGCTTAAATTACTTGAAAACCCCTTTCCAAGATGTGGCTCTCCAGTTTGTTATTAACACCCTGGGGGTTCTTCAAGATGATCTGTACAACCAGTGCATCCATTTTTATCCATGCCTGGATGACCCTGTCAATCTTTTCTCTTTCTGTGTCCCAGGAAAAGAAAGAGACATAACCAGAGTTGTTTAGGGAATCTACAGTTCATTGCGAATTGGGAGAAATGCCTTCTTTTCATCTTGTCACCTTCAAGATCTGAGGTCAAAGATTTTAGAGTTGGAAAGAAGCATTTAAACCATCAGATTCAACTTGCCTAGCATAGAAGTCCAAGTTAAAGCATTTCTGATAGATGGCAGTATAGCCTCTTCTTGTACTTATTCAGGCAGGAAACCCTGCACCCTTGGTTCCACTGTCAAGTTGCTTTTACACTTTACATTACAATTTACATTACAAATTTCCTAATATTCAACCAGAATTTGCCTTCCTGTAAGTAAATCCATTTTTCTGTGCTCAGCACTGAGATTATAAAGACTTGACTTGTGTGAGATACTTTTGGCATTTGAGGAATGCTACGATTTTACCATTCAGTCTTCTCAAGCATAAGCAAGCCCAGTTCCTTCTGTTTCTCTTGAAAGGACTCAGTTTCTAGGTCATCCTCACTCTTTCCTGAACCAATTCCAGTTTCTTTGAATCCTAAAAGTACACTATCTAGAATTCAGTTCTGGGTGTAGAAAGATAGTTGCATTTCTTCTGGAAGAAATGAGACAAATCATAGAACAACTTCTCAGGTTAGTCCTCCATTTTTTCAAGTGTAGATCATATGGCTTTGCAAGGCTTCAGTAGCTTATGATAGATAGCATAGACTTGAGTTATGTACAAGAGCTCACTCTCAATTTCTAGAGTGGCTTTTTCTGCCGCTTGTTCAGAATTACCACAGAATCTCGTGTGACTTTCCTGGTTCCATTTGTTTGCAAGACAGCCCTTAGGAGGGGGAAGCTATTGAATATTGAATCGAGTTAGTCACAAGAGATCCCAGCTTGCGATACGATGAGCTCAGTGTGAAGGTCAGCCAAAAAGTGCAGACATAACGTCAGTTTCATAGAACTATGAGTATCCCACTTTCATTCCCTGCTGGCTTGTTGCCATGCTCTTTCATCCTCCATAATTACAAAAGTACCTGTTCAGCATTAAAAGGGATCCAGTCCTACACTCTTGAGAAGGAAAAATCCAGGAATGCCATATCCCTTTTCTTTTAGAAGAGCATATTCATGGGGTATTCAAATTGGTGTGGTTTGCTAATTGTGGTCCTGTTTGCCTTGTCAAAAAATTGCAGCGTGAGATTATTTCTGTCTTTGATTTCCTTCAAAGGGGCAGGAAGTATTCAGTGCACAGAATTCTAGATACCCCTAGGTAGAAATCTCTGTACTTTCCACTGAGTTCTAGAGAGTTAAGCCAGTACATCAGAGGGCCTTGTGAGGGAAGAATTATCTCACAAATTTCTATTTCTAAGGTTTTGATATTTCTTCAACCTGGTCTTAGTGCCTTTTGGAGCACTAAGCAAATTGGAGTTTCCATCCATCTACCAAAAGTTTCCTACAAGAGGCTTTTCTCTTGAAACCCCTGCAGTGCATAGGTTTTGAAGACTTTTGTTACATCCATCATTTCAAGTATTACATCTGGTTTCACTCAAGCACCAAATGTTGCCTTATCTCAATTAGGAACCATGTCAGAATTGGGGATGTCAGTTGCATTTCTTCTGGAGTCTGTGACGACAAGTCTGTGTCATCATGAAGGAGTCTGTGTGGATGTCTATATGGATCTCATTTTCATTATAAAAGTGAACTTTTCTCAGTTCCACAAAACATTAAAAAAAAGCAGCATAAAGGTGAATAGAATGATGAAGACAGACCTGCTGTTTGAATCTTCACAGTAACCTACCTTGGGCTGTAAAACTTCACCACTGATCATTTCCAGATAGATCAGGGCCTATGTACCTTTAGGTTTTGCCTTGGATCAAAAATGCTGGGGACCTCATTGGATGACTTCCTGGCCCTCTACTTGGTCCTTTGTTAGGTGCCATATGCTGAATATCTGTCCCTCAGAAAAAGGTTCTTCAACAACTGTTCCTTTCTGTTAAGAGTTCTTCTCTTCATCCCACTTGCGGATGAATGCTGTTCAAGGGCAGACTCATGTAGACCAATTGGGAGGTGACTAAGGCATGAGTGGCTGTGAACAGTGCCATCTCAGGATCAATGCCATCTCAGTGCTGTATCCTGGCCTGAAACCTGATGTAACAGGTCTAGATAATCCGCAGTATTGTAATTGGAAAAATTACTCAACAATATATGGTAATTACTTCTACTGAAGATTTATTGTTTGTATTTACTAAGATTTGTTAACTATCTTAACACAATAAATTAACACCCCTTCTTTTAGTAACAGATTTATTATTGCAAAAAACTGGAAAATCAAATAATTTCTTTCTCTGAACTGGCAGTATTTAAGCAAATGGGAAGAAGCACTCACGGAAAAATCAACCCTTTCAAACTTTAATACAGTTGTTTTAAATTTAACTTCAACAAAGTGGTTCCTAATGATCAATGTCTACAGTTTTTTTTTTAGACAGAAATACTGTGTGTGTGTATAAAATTGCCATCTCTCATTTTAATTGATGTATCAAGTATATCTACTTTATGATATGTATCTGGATTTCTTAATGATTCTTAACATTATTGTTAGGCATTTTCCCCAAAAAACAGCTGTTGAGACAACACTGAATCCTGAACTCTTGATAAACCAACTTCCAGAGTCTGGAGAAACCACGAAAAGAAGCGAAGGAAGGAAGGAAGGTAAAATACTCTGAAGCGTTCCCAGCTGTTTTCTTTCGATGACTGTCAGTCAGCTTTGCATTGCTGGGGTCTTGCAAAATATGTGGGTCTGTAACTGAATCCTGTTACATTTCAGGCAAATTTCTCCTACGTGTAATGGAGGATATCTGTAAATTGGTGGATTCTGTTCCAGGAAGGGAGCTGAAATCTTTGCTACATGGTCAAGAGCTCCTTCGGCTTAGAGACTGCAGGTCTGTTCTGAGTTGTTGCTGGTTTGGAATATGATAATGTGTTTTGCTTCTTTAAGGTAAAGAAATTAGGATGTGCTAAGTTTTTCCAAGTTGCAAACACTACTTGAATAGCGTCAATCCCCTGAGATTTTCATAGCTCTTAATGCAGGCTGTATGAAGCAGGTCATTTTTTAATCTATGCATAACTTTTAGAAACTAGAAGATATTCCTATGTCACAGGTTATCTGTAAATGGAGTCCTTCTCATATTTATTCCAGAAGCAAATTATGCAAATAAGTTCACTTTTGATCTCTTCATCAGGATTAGTGTCCCCTCATTTCCAGTCCTGTTCAGTTAAAGATTGCAAAACTTCCACAGAAGTCCAACTTTGGAAAATCTGCCTAGTCCATAAGGGGGAAAAGATTGTTACTCATCTATAATATTAGAGGAGTAGGAATGTAGGTAAAACAAGAGAGTTTTTAATTATCCGAGGAAATTCCACTATCATAGTTCTACAGGAAACTCATGATTGGATAATAATAAAAAAAATACTTTTAAAATGGGATACATTTATTGTCCATGGGCCATCTAGGGTCAGGAGTGTAGAAACAGTATTGGCCAAAAACATTTCTACTCAGCATGTGATAGGAAAAATTCCGTGGGGCGATACATTTTTATTAAGGGTAGATATATATGATAATAGTATTGCTTCACTTTATTGGCCCAATCAAAATTGTGAAAATGCTTTGGTATAATACATTCAAACAGAAGTTTTAATAATTTTATTTTATAGGCAGGGATTTAAGTTGGATTGTCATTTATAAGCAAGGTAAAAGATCAATAAGAGGAAATTTCTGGAAAGGAAACAGCAAATTCATTAGGAAAGTTTTAAAACAATATAATAACTTATCTTTTCTTATATCCAGAAGAAAACTGTTGAGCAATCACAGAAATGGAAACAGAAGTGGTACTGATACCTTTCTAGATGTAAACTGCGAACATAATTTTGACTATGGTGGGTCCCAAGATGACAGTTGTTCTTCTCAGTTGGGAAAGAAGTACTCTCCTCTTCCTCAACAGGACGCTTGTACTTCTAGACCATTTTCAGACAAGCTTCTTGGTGATGTTCAGCGCCTGCGTGGCCTTCATCCACCATGTTTGTCACTATTGAACTCTCAAGGATCAATTGGAGCTGATCCATCCATTTTCTTGGGAGATTCTACTTTGGATACTTACTCTTCTGCCTTGGAAAGTTCAGGCATATCTTGTCCCAAAAGGGAAACCAGTGGAATAACTGGATCCAAAAAGCCAGAATTAGAAGAAGAGGCACGCTGGTTGTGTTCAAAGATGAATGAAACAAATTCAAAGAGCCAAAGCAAACTCACTCCGTTTAAGAGCAATGTTGGAAGTGAGAATTCTTTGGCAACTGGAGGGCAGGAGCTTAATAATGATAATTTTGATATTGGTGATTTTGATGAATTTGATGATGTAACAAGTGCTTCAACAACCAGACAGCCTTTTAAGGTGCCAGTCCAGTTTGCTGCAGATGCTTCACCTGCAAAATTATTTTTGGAAGAAAGCTCTCCAACGTCGAAGGCAAATGATGATCTTTTCCATAGCAATTTTTCTTATGCAGACTGTTCTGTGAGTGGCAAGAGTTGCCCTGGTAAGTTACGCTAATTCTTCTTTTAGTGTGTTCTGGAAAATAAGCTACAGCAAGAAATTACTGTGAAGAATATAATTTACTCATTTGACAATCTATCTTGCATCAGACAGTCTTATCCACAGATTAAATGTCCTCAACCATTTTGAGCATATTTTGATTTTTAGAAACATGTGGACACTCACAACATACTGCCCAATTCACAAAACAGCTAACCATGTGTGTGTGTGGGGGGCATGCATGTATTAGGTTACCCAAAAGTTACCTACCGCTATCACTAGTCCTACTTACCTTTGTTCCTTGTTTGGACTGGTAGGCATATTTCCAAAAAGAGTTCTGGGTTGCATCTGACTATTTTTATTCTGTAAAGAAAAGTGTATGGATCCAAATCACCATTTCGTGTCATAATAATATTTTTTTTAATGTACGAAGTCAGGAGGGGGCAGGGAGTTAGGTGCCCATTAAAGCAGGTATCCGCAGTCACCGTGGCACTCCTTGGCAGCATATCGGGAACACAAGGCCACTAATTGCTATCCAGTGTCTCCATGATGGCAGGTAGTTGCATTTGAGTTCTGATACACTTTAGGAAATACAACTTTTTAAATGCGTTAATATTAAATAGGGAAAAGAGTTATTTTCAAGTAGGAACGTACCGTTAGGTTAATGTCAGTGAATGTTGTAAGGCCACATCGCTGCTTCAGTGGACTAATTCAACTGTTACAAAGTGTCTGTTTTGCTGTGAGTTTTTGCATTTGATTTTAATGGAAATTTTGAACCTGGCTAGATTGTGTCCAAAATTGCAATGTTATGATAGGTGGGGACTGAAAGTGTTTCACTGGCTGAGTTGCGTGTCCTGCGTGCTAAGACATAAATCAAATTCCCTTCAAGCTTTCACGTTGTTCTGCACGTGTATGATTGGGAACAGACCAGGTGAAACCTTCTGAGACTTAATCATTGACATGGCTTAGTAGCACACTCGATCAATCCCGCCCCTGAAACATGTTTAGATATTTTCATGTAATATGAATTAAGTTTGAGCACCTGATGGCTGGCTAAAAAACACTGAAGACAGCAAGTATGTTTTCTCTTCAGCCTTATAATAAAACCTTGTTTTCTTCCTAGTTGCGCTAATCAAGAATACACCTTCGGGAAATTCCACCCTAGAACCATTCAGAGGTTTAGCATTTCCCCATTCTAATGAGATGCTGAAGATATTTCATAAAAAATTTGGTCTCCATCACTTTCGGACAAATCAGCTTGAAGCCATCAATGCTGCTTTGCTGGGCCAAGACTGCTTCATCCTGATGCCCACAGGTGTGTGTTCAGGTGGAGATACCTGCCAATGGCGGAGACCATCATAATGGGGCCCCGTCTCTAAATGGCCATCCGCCTTGTGCCCTAAAGGCTCCAAAGAAAGAGAGAGGAGTTAGAATTGAGGCTGAAAGAGCAGTTAAAATAACTGGTTTTAAATCAAGTTGCAGATATTTTGCATGTCTTCTAATTGGGATAGGCTAATAAGCTGAATAGTTGGGATGAAATGATTCAGCCTATTCATCTAACCTTGATCCAAGAAACCTTCCCTCTGCCGTTGCTTGGACCAATTGTTACAGCCGGTTCCTGTCAGCACACAACTTTCAGTGCAAGTGTGTAGTCCCCTACAGAAGTGAACCATAGCTGTTTGGGGAAATTAAGTATCAGATCTGCGATGTTCAAATCCCAATGAAGAAAAATCTCGTGCAACCCGAGTTAGGTTCAAAAAAGATTTCATTTATTGGAACGTAAATGCAACTTAAAGCATTGCTGAAACTAAAACCCGCGCTTTTCCCATTTTACTTTTACCCCTACTTCTCACCCCCCTCTTTCCAGACTCCTTTCTGTTTCTCACAGAGGTGCAACCTTGCACATTCCTAGCCTTTGATAACAGTCCATCTTCTTGGCCTTTGAGAGCATACCATTTCCTTCTTCTTTCATTACCCCCTCCCCCCTCCTAAAGAATGGCAGAAACAAAGCCAGCAACTACTACATTAATATTTTGATTGCTGAAGGTTCTGACATTAAGTTTATCCATGAAATCCATCATTCTGTCTGTTTTGAAACATTATAAATATCAGTTTCAGAGCTGAATGCATTGCATTGTTTTGGTAGCTAGACTTTAGAACTGGGAAAAACTTTCAGATTTGAAACACTACAGAGTAAGCTATTTCAAACATCTTGGAGGTGATTTAAGCTTAAAAAACTCTTCTGAATTGAAGTTGCCTTATTTTGTACTCAGAACTGTTCCAGGGTGTTAACGCCATTGGAGCAGTCATTGGCAACTGAAGGCTGTTCACATTTGAAATGCAGAGCCCTACTAGTCAGCGCGTTGCCATGGACTTCATAGGTCACCCTAGTTCAGGAGAAAGTCAGTAGTAATAAATATAAAATATGTGACTTTGTTGCATCACTTAACCTGATCATAGTTAATCTGAAACATTGATTCTTACTATTCCTTTTTTATAGAAAAGCATTCAGTGCTAGGTTATCATGACTCAGTTTTGAGAGATGGTAAGGATTTTTCCTTAAAAATGTAACTAGGTGCTGTTGAGTCAAGCTTGACTTGTGGCAACTACAGTATATGCTGCTTACCTTTTCAACTGAAAGCTTTTCCAGGGACAGTCCTACACTTTTGTGGATCCTGCCCATCCACCTGATCCATTGTCTTCCATTTCTACTTTCCTCGTCCCTGCCAAGGATAGTTAAAAGAACTATCTAGTCCAATATTCTCTCACATCAGTGCTGAAATTATATACGTTTCTACTTGCCTGTTCTCTCTACAAAAGTTTCCATCATTTATAGTCCCATTTGGAAGGAGCTTCAGTACAGTCTTTCTGTCTTCCTTTAACCCTTTCTTTTCTCATTTCCCATTTCTATTCTATTGACTTTCTTGACTGAGATGTTTTTCCTTGTTCTTTTTCACTTGCAGTTGGAAATCTGCATTCAGTTGTCATATCCTTGCATCTGAGGCTTTCATCTTTGACTATTATATAGCTTGTCTTGAAGACCGCTTGGATTTTTTCCTTCTTTTTGATTATGAGAATTCCTTTTTTTCACTTCAGTTTTCATGAGTTCTCTTAACTCTTCCTATACTTCCTCAGTTTATCTTTTGCATTAGATAAGCATACTGTATATTCCTCACATTTATCTTATATCCTGACGATACGTTCTCCAGATCAAATCTTGTTGGTACATCTACTCTCTTTAATTCTCTAAATTTAATGTGTGCATTTGAAACTAGTAATTCATGAGTTGTTTTGCAGTCTGCACCTGAAAGTGCCCTGGCTGACAGGATTGCACTTTTCCATCTTCTGTTTCCTATTGTGTAGTTCATATGATGCTGATGTTGTACAACTGCTGATGTCTAGGTGTAGAATCTGCATTTATATTGCTTGAAGAAGGTGTTGGCAATGAACTAAGAATTATTTTCATAAAACTCTTTATTAACCATTTCCTGCTTTTAATCAATCTAATATTCCTCTAATTACAAGTTTCTCTAGTTCTTCAACTTTTGCTTTCCAATCATCCATTAGTAGTATTATGTCTTTTTCTTGATGCTGCATTTCTTGTAGATTTTTTCCATCATTGCATCTGTAATAGGGAAATATGCTTTATAACACTGATGTTCACTGGATATCCACTAACTCTAATTGGATATGATCTTGTCATTTATCGGGTAATAACTTATAGGCTTAGCACTGCCTTTTTGTCCATCATTGCCACTCCATTCCTTTGTATAGATGTATGCCCTGTGTAGCATATTGTATAATCATGTCTATTAAAATGACCAAATATAGTCTATCTAAATTCACTTTTTCTTAAATCATCCAATTTACACTTAATTTTTGTTTTATTAGTTTCAAGTTTTCCTTGGTTCATGCTTCTTGCATTCCATGTTCCATTTGGATGTGTTCTTGTAAAGCAAGAAACCCGTCTTCCGAGACTGGTGCCCATCAGTAACTTGTAACTTTGGTCTAACACATCATTGCTTCCAGTTCTACTTGTGAAAATTTGAAGTTCTTATGTAATGACCAGAATGGTTTTCCATCATCTTATCATTTGGCACCCACATTTACTTAAATGATTCAGCCATGTTCATACACTTTTCTTGGTAATGGTACAGAAGTAGTTGGCCATTGCCTTCTTCCAGGTTTGATTCTTCATCAACATATTCCTTCTCCAAGGTGGGCTGGTTTCTCTCAGGTTTGCAGAGCCCCATCTTCCATCCCCCACTGTGGATTACTCTTAGCTTTGTCCTTCCTCCTTGGACCTTACTGGCAGGGCAGTTGCACTAGGAGATCCTGTCAGGGTTGCTGTCAGTCACTGAAGTGGATGAGGCCTCCCAACATGTCAAGGTTTGGGGGGGGTAGTTAAGTATAACTTTATAAAAATTAAGTATACTCTAAATCAATTTTAAACTTTATCTACTTTGAATAAATGAAACTATTGGATTTCTTACTTTGTTGAATTACATATTTCCTAACACAGGCCCAGGCTGGGCACGCTTCTGCCCATTATAAAGCCATTTTCTGTTTTGATTTTAATGTGTGAATTGCTGTTTATTATTATTATGAATCACTTTGAGGATTTCAGTCAGAGTGCATAATAAATCCAACTCATATACAATCAGATCTTTTGCTGTGCTTTAAAAAAAGCTAAGGAATGATTTCCTAAAATGAATTTTATGCTAAGTATTATATTTTGCATGAAAGAACGTTAAGGACCTTTCAGGGATGCTTCACTTCTGCACCAAGTAGGAAGTCGAACTTAGTGGTTCTTTGCATTTCAATTCTAGGGCCTGTTGTTAATCTTCACAGTAGCAGGTGTGATAGAGAAAATGTCAGTTGAAGCATTGGCCTCCTTCGTGATTTGTGTTTATAATTCATGAGCTTTGCAACAGAGCTTTCATATTGTGCTTGTGCTCCACACAGGAGGTGGCAAGAGTCTGTGCTATCAGCTGCCAGCCTGTGTTTCAGTGGGAGTCACCATCGTCATCTCTCCCTTGAGGTCCCTGATAGTAGATCAAGTTCAGAAGCTGACATCCATGGATGTGAGTTCAGGATGATTTGCTATTTGATTTTTTGTAAACTACACAAAATGCAAAGATGTATTAAGATAATCTGCATCTGTCATGGGCATGTTGATTTCTGCTCTCTGCAGTGGGACCATGCAAATATAAAACTTTAAATCCTTGTAGAATTTGTGTTCATACAAAATTTGTGTACTTTAGCTAGTTAGTCTTGTTTAGAATCTAGGGAGAAAATCTGGAGTATAACTTGCCTTTCACTGAAAGAACAATGTAGCCTTGGCTTCCTCACAGTTAGGGGTCTAGCTAGAATTGTCTGGCGCTTCTTGGAATTTGGCTCTGTGGCAGAGGGAACGGGCACTGTTCAATAGCAAAGCATAGATATTGCCTTCCTCACTTCTAATACAAGCATTTGCCTCATTACTGATCAGTCTTGGAAAGAAACGATCAACAGTAGCCAAGATTAGTGTTGAAGCTATAGCCCTGTTAGCTGCAAATGGTACACCTTTTGTCCTCTCTGTCTAGATTCCAGCTACTTACCTCACAGGTGATAAGACTGATGCTGAAGCATCCAGAATTTACATGCAGCTATCAAAGAAAGATCCCATTATAAAACTCCTCTATGTTACTCCAGAGAAGGTTTGTGTAGCAGCTCAGCAGCACTCCAGCTGATGCTGGGGGGCTGGATGGAGCCAGGCTTCTGCTGGCTTGGCTGCAGTTGTGTCCCTGGTGGCGCCTGTGGGTGAAGGAGATCAGGAGGCTCTGAAAGGCATCGAGGAATGAAGCTGTAACATTCTGGGCTCCTCTTGCTCTTCCTAGGTTTGCCTGAGTGGCCGGCTGATGTCAGCTCTGGAGAATTTGTACCAGCGACAGCTGTTGGCTCGTTTTGTGATTGATGAAGCCCACTGTGTCAGTCAGGTGATCTGCTTTAATTGAATAGGTCATAGGTGGCTGCAACAATTGTATGCATTTAATTGTGAGCAATGTTAACTTTTTAAAAACCTTTTGCTTAGTGGGGTCATGATTTTCGTCAAGACTACAAGCGGCTTAACATGCTTCGAAAGAAGTTCTCCTTGGTTCCTATGATGGCTCTTACTGCCACAGCCAACCCCAGAGTGCAAAAGGACATCCTAAATCAACTGGAGATGCTCCAGCCACAGGTGTAAGTTGGAGTTAGAGGGTGAGGAGAGAGTTCCTTCTTGGGCAATTTGGGAAAGGGACAGCTTTACTGGGATTCCTGTATAGATTGGCTGTATATTCTTTAGAAATTCATTAATCCTTTAATTCACCTAAATTACTAATATCCTTCTAGGTTTACTATGAGCTTTAACAGGCACAACTTGAAATACGACGTATTACCCAAGAAACCCAAAACTGTTGCTTTAGATTGCTTACAATGGATCAGAAAATATCACCCTTGTAAGTTAACACCCATTCTTCCTCTGCCAGTGTCTACTTGTATGGGGTTATTTTAAGCCCAGTGTTTATTAGATTAGAGAGAAATTCTGATATTTGATATCTTGGTGTTCCTTAGGGAAATATACACATAATGGATCAGCCTTGTGGAATGATTCTGTCGATATCTAAAACTTGTTCATAAATGTACCATATTGATAGAAAACTGGTGCAATGTAGTGGTTAGGTTTCTCCAACCCTTTTGGAACTTGGGGCCCTTTAATTTTGAAAAAGTGTTTGGGTAATAGCACAAATGACCTGGTCGTAAGGGATGTGCCAATCACAAAATTTTGGAAATGCCCCCTTTTTCTGCCTATATGGTTTTTCTGGACTTGGAAAGGTCCATTGAGGCTGTCAAGCCCAGCATCACCGCTCAAGGCAAGAATCCAAATACAAGCATCCCAGAGAGAAGGCTGTCCAGCCTCCAGGTGGACACACTCAAGGAAGGGTTGAGATGGCTGGATTTTACATTTTTTTCAAATGTGCTTTGTGTTGGGAAGGGCTAGGAATTTGGGCAGGCTTCTCCTTTCTGACACAGTGGTATCCATAAGCATTACATTACATCCCCCTGAGTTAGAGTATCAGTTGGATTATGCTGTGACGTTCACGGCAGCTGACATCATTTCCGGAGCCTTGCCTTCTTCACCTCGGTATATGAATAGGGAGAAGTTTGCTGTGTTGTTTGGGCTAAGGGCGAGGGATGGGAAAAGACCTCATCATCTGCTGCCCTATAAAAGGGCAGGATACAAGTGTGGATAAAGCAGCAGTGGTTGGGTTTGTTCCTGTCCAATGGTGAATTGTTACAAGCTGCCATTAAGTAAAGCAAACAGATGGAATTCAAAACTGTATTGCCATCTTGAATAGACTTTTAGAGGGCCGAGACCCTTAATGTTTTTCCTGTGTGTTGCAGGTGACTCAGGAATTATTTATTGTCTCTCACGGTATGAGTGTGACTCGGTTGCCAACGCTTTGCAAAGGGGCGGCCTCTCTGCACTTGCGTATCATGCTGGTCTCCCTGACAGCACCAGAGATCTTGTGCAGCAGAAATGGATTAATCAGGAGGGGTGCCAGGTAAAATGAATATACTATTAGAAAGTGATATCAAATAATACAACCACATCAGCAATTAAAATAAAAGGTGGAGGATGTAGGCAATATGACTAATCCTCTACAAAGAAAGTATGGCGAACTCTGAGTTCTGTCAAATTTCAAGAGCTCATACCTGCAGAGATTCTATTGACATGCAGCTAAATATGGCTTTTCATTGACCAATAATAAGTAATGTGGCTGTGAGCAGTTACAGGCTGATTTGGAAGAAGTGAGGTGGTACAAAATGGGAGGGTTCAAAAGAAGTTGGCTCAAATGCTGTGCCATCATTTTGTGGCAATTCAAAATGTAGCAATTGGGCTGGCTCCCATTATTGGATCACTTGCACTTTGTAAAGCCGTTGGTGTATTTGACATTGCCCTCCTTGGAATGGGTTTGAAGTAGAACAGAATATAGAGAGGGATCGCATATGGGAAATTTCCGTCCAGTCCTGGCAGCATCCCTATGGGCTAGAAATGATGGAGAGTCGAAAGCATCAGGCTAAATGGACCAGTGTTCTGATTCCAGGGTGTTGCCTGACTTAGGGAAAGACCAGTTCTACTGGTCAGCTGGCTGGACTCTCACTTTGGCTCTTCTCTAGCAAGGACCTGGACTAGCCTTGATCCCAAGCCACACCAGCACATGCCCAGTAGGGAAAATGGCTGTAGAAGAGGCAGCCGGGGCACGGGCCATGAACATCTGGGGAAAGCAGCCCAGAGCTGTCGCAGAGGATGGCAAGCGCTATGTCCAAGCTGAGCTAGCTTTGGCTGCTCCGTCATCTCTTCGGGCAAAGAGGAAAAACTGAACAATCAGTGGGCAAGACCTAGAGTCAGATCAGCTGGATGAGAGCCATGTCTGAGCCCATCAGAGGCAGCTTCCTGGGCTTCAGGAGCAGCACTGTGGGTCGGTCCCTCCCAGTGCAGGCAGGGGTGCTGTCTCGCTTCCCTCGCATGGAGTAAGGGCTTGTTCTGTTCCGTTCCAGGTTATCTGTGCCACCATTGCATTTGGAATGGGGATCGACAAGCCCGATGTGCGCTTTGTAATCCACGCCTCCCTCCCTAAATCTATTGAAGGGTACTATCAGGAGTCAGGCAGAAGTGGGCGGGATGGAGAAGTATCCCACTGCCTGCTTTTCTACAGCTATAGTGACGTTACCAGGCTGAGACGGCTCATCCTGAGTAAGTGTTTGTGGGTGTCATTTCAAACTGTGGGGCCAAAGTCAAGCAGGCCACCTGGGTTTAAAGCTGGAGGCCTTTATTTACATGCCCACTTACGGTGCTGCTCATTGCCACAAAGGTTCTAGTCAGCTAACAGTGAACAGTTAAGAAAACCCTAAACCTAAATACAGAGAGAATGTCTAGCCAGTGATCCACTTATGTTCTTCTCTCTGTGCTTAACTACGCCAGCAGCTCCTCCTGGAGCACTGCTGACTGCCTGCCTTGTGTTTGGGGCTAGTTATTTCTTGGGGGAAGGGGGAGGAACGACCAAGCAGGCACAGCGCCCACTCTGAGAAGCCCAGCAGCGCATATTATCCAAAGACTGCCTTTTCCAGATTGATGAACTTACCAATCTTCTTGCTTGGGAGAAAAATAGATAGCATTTGTCTCGAATGTCTTATTTTGCTCTCCTGTTTATTATAATGAAAAGGAAGAAATCTGGCCCACAACCTTAACTGGGATTTATTGCTTCTTTCTCTTTCGTCTGTTTACAAGTGCCTGAGGAGACTGGGGGTCTCTATGCCTCTCCCCCTGAGCTAATCTAAAAAAGGCATTTCCTCTGTGGATTTCGGATATGTTTTTCCCCCATGTCTTATACAGCTGCTATTGTTATTGTGGGGCTTGAAAAAGAAGACCAGACTTAATCATTCTCCAACAGTATTCAAAGCCAAAATAAGACTTAACTTTATCTTGCTTGGACTATTACATGAGGGGCCATTTCATTCCAGCATTTCATAATTTAGCTTTGACTTTTATTACCTAGAAAGTCAGCCAGAATTCATCTTAGCTGATTATAATGGCTGCCTAGCTGATTTCTTTTGTTTTCTGTCTACCAAGGGATCTATATATACAGTATGAGATTTGGGAACAGTTTGGGCTTTTAACAGCTAGGATTAATTTTTCAAAAAATGGAAAATTTACAGCAGTTGCCGGCTGCTTTTCCCACAAGCTTTGGGACGGCCCTTGTCACAACCTAATCTGACTCTGCATCCAGCAAGACCTATTTTGGTGGCTGAGGGCTCTCCCTTGCTCCAGGAAAGTGGGTACAAAGAGGGTTCGGAGGTGTTTAGGGTATTTTTTTCTACCCTCACCCGTTTGCCTGCTAAATGGTTCCTCAGAAGTTTGCAGCAGCTTTGTGAAACTTCAGTTGCTTTATCTGGGTATTGCCTCTGTGGGTTCTTTCCTCACAAGGACCATATTCCTTGCATTTCAGTGGAAAGAGAGGGTAACAGGCATACCCGGCAGACGCACTTCAACAACCTCTACAGCATGGTCCATTATTGCGAGAATGTAATGGAGTGCCGGAGAATACAGTTGCTCGCCTATTTTGGAGAAACGGGCTTTAATTCTAGATTTTGTAAGGAACACCCTGAAGTAAGTTGTGACAACTGCTCCAAACAACAGGTAAGCAAGCTGTGCCTCAAATTCTGCTTCTAAATAGCTGACTCAAGTATCTTCCTGGGAAGGGTTAAAAGCAGTGGGCAGAAGAAGTTAACCATGGGATTTTCAAATAATAGCATACCATTTTTTTCTCTTGGGTATTTCATTAGCACTGTTCTTCATCCCAAAAGAGCCCATTTAATGATATTCCTATTGTAAATTATTAATTAAATTTACATGTCTTAAGTTTTAGATTATATTAAGGTTGAAAAATGTTTTATTATTAACAATCAGATATAGCAAACAACTCTGTTTCATAAAGCTGTTCTCATACATCGTGCTGTAGATGACCATCATATGATTCTCTCTTGGGGAAGGGCCCTATGTAAAGTGCAGAAAAAGGGTAGGAAAATAAATTAATGTAGGAGATAATTGCTGGAGGCTCCTTGTTTGGATTCTTTGCTCACTTCCATTGAAATGGTTGTGCATTTTCTTTTTCTCTTTTAATCTTAACTAATTTAATCTTGTTCTCTGACTCCAGCTTTGCACCTTTTTCTGATACACATTATACAGTATATTTCATATAATCCTTCCACCAAGCATCCTTTTTCCCATTTCCCGTTACTGTAACTCCGCATGCTCATGTGCCCTCTACAACTATTTTTTTCAAAGCAGCTTCCGCATCCCTTTTCTTGCATCTGCTTTCCATTTATTCTATTGGGAGGTCAATTTATCTTCTAATACTTTTTCATACAGATCATGTGCTTTCTGTTACTGCCATCTTTCTACTATAATTGTCCTACTTTCACTCTGATTTCTTTAACTTTCTTTTGTTTCTCTGTCCATTTCTTTTCCGAAGATGAATTATCAAACTACGGTCTGTCCTACATTCAGAACCTCTCATCACCCTGTTGACTGATTGATTGAAATTGTCTGGTCCAGATTATTTTGCCACAGTATGCATAAATAGACAAATGCTTAAATTATGTATTAAAACCAAACAGGTTTCTTCAAAGCAGATCCTCCACCATCACCATTCACAGGAATGTAATATGCAACTGTACTCAACCTATGAATTCCTATCTTCATAATCTCTCACGGTGATCTAGATGATACCAGTTCATCCTTGTTGTCATATTTTAAGTCCTTTCATTCTCGATGAAACTTACACTTTTACTTTCATGAATGTAATTTATGAACTCCACTCCACCAGATCAGATCAGCATGACTCAGATTCACACTCATTCATTCAATTCATGTTCTTTACCATATAGCCGTCCTACATTCCATGTCTGGCCTACCCTGTGCCATGGTTGTCACAAGATGGACCAATAGAAATGACCTCTACCTTTGGTCAATCAAGGATTTCATGTAGTGCATTTTAGAAAGTTAGAGAAGAATAGATGAGGCTGCCAGCCATATGCAACATTCCCTTCTAACAGCAGTGCCAGTCCCAGTCAGGTATGTTTTGATCAGTGTGCAAGGGCTTTAAAGCCTGTTTCATCTCAAACACGTTCATGCTATTCTAGGCACATGAATCAAGCCAATGTCCCATCAGCTAGGAGCTACGTGCAGTGTACTGGCTATACGATATACAAAATTAATAAAACTATTTTTATTAGGTATACAAGCTGAAGAATGTGACCGAAGAAGTAAAAAACATTGTGAGGTTTGTTAAGGAGCATTGTGGTGAAAAAGGAACTGGAAATATCAAGAGAAATGCAGGAAGATACACCCTCAATATGATGATTGACATTTTCTTGGGTAAGTTCTACATTATCCTTTATAATTTTTCAACATTGCATGCCAGATAGGTTGTAAAAGTGGGTGGGGCACTTTCCGCTCCCCCAGCCCATCCCCTTTTGCCAAGGAGGGATGGAACTGGAATCAAGGCCAAACTGTTCTCCCGTGCAGTCATTTCCACGTGTACCACATTGCTCACTTTACCATCCTCCTTCTTGTTCTCTGTTGGGGCTCAGAGTATAGCAGTCTGCACACAACAGAAAAAGACGGGGGATTTGGTGCCCAAGCAACTGCCACCTCTGCTTCCATAGTTGCTTGGGGGATGGGAGTCTCTCTCTTTCAGCCCCAGAGAAGCCGAGAGAGCTGCCTCAGGAGGGGCAGCAGAGTTCCTTCAACTCACCTGATTGCCTGTGTAGGAAGCACAAAGGATTGAACGGAGGAAGCAGGAGGGGCCTGGGCTCTGTTCCCAATTCCTGCCTGTGTGTATGTGAGAAACCCAGGGAGACAGGCTGATTCCAGGTTGTCCAATCAGCGCCCTCTTGTTCATACCTTCACAGCTGATTGGTTATACCTGGATGTGAACCATATTCTTTCTTGTATGGTACCAGATGTTTCTAATCCTTGAGGTCTGTTCTTTCTGAAGGAGGGCCAAGAGCTTTCAAGATGATTCCCTTATTAGTCCAGGACAATACTAGCATCTGGGACATGGTTCATACGAACATCTTCTCCGATGCTCCATGTTGGTTAGTCAGTTCCTCATCTGTATATGGTATCATATTCCCCTTCTTCATCCCTTTGAATTATACATGAAAAGATACCATTACTTTTCCTGAGACAGGCATCTATTCATCACCATTGTCTGTTATGAGTATAGATTATTAAAGTTTACATAAGGTTATTACTTTTTGAACTTCATGCTGACTATCTTGCCTGGTTATCTGGGAATGGTTTGAGCCTGTTGGACCTGAGAAAGTGGACAGGGTCCTCAGGACTGTGAGCTCAGCCACCTGCTCTTTAGATCCATGCCCCTCCTGGCTTGTTAACGCAGCCCAGGGGGGTGTCATGTGAGTGGGTTTGGACGGTGGTTAATTCTTTGAGTGAGGGGGTTGTTCCTTCACCTCTTAAAGAGGCTGTTGTTCACCCACTCCTCAAGAAGCCATCACTGGACTCCACTGTGTTGGACAATTTTCATCCACTATCTCACCTCCCCTTTCTAGGGAAGGTGGTTGACAAGGTGGTTACGCAACAGCTTCAGAGGACCTTGGAGGAAACGGATTATCTGGATCCCTTTTGGTCAGGATTCAGACCTGGGTGTGGGATGGAAACAGCATTGGTCACGCTTTTGGATAGCCTCTAGCGTGGGCAGGATGGAGGTAGGGCATCCATCCTTGCCCTACTTGACCTCTTAGTGGCTTTCAAGACCAGCGACCGTGGTATCCTTCTGGATCGGTTCAGAGGATTGGGGGTGGGCAACACTGTAATGTGCTGGTTCGCCTTCTTCCATTGGGGTTGATTCCAGTTGGTGGTGATTGGGGAGAAGTCCCACCCTCGGCCCCTACTATGTGGGGTGTTGCAGGATTTGGCACTCCCTCCTCTCCTCTTTAACATCTATGTGAGGCTGCTGGGTGAGCTCATCCATCACCATGGGGGGAGATATCAGTAGGCTGATGATAATTATATATCTTCACTCCTGGCAAATTAAGCAATGCTGTGTATGTCTTATCTCAGTGTCTGGAGGCTGTGAGGGTCTGGATGGGGAACAACAGGGGTCAGTTGAACCCTGGCAAGACTGAGTGGCTGTGGTTTTTGGCATCTGGTAGTTCCAGGGCTATGCCATCTTTGGCCCTGGATGGGGTTGCACTGCCCCAAACAGACCCAGTGCGCAACCTGGGGATCTTCCTAGACTTATGACTCCTGCTCAATGAGCAGGTAGCAGTTATGGCTAGGAGGGCCTCTGTACAGCTCCAACTTGTGCGCCAGTTGCACCCATTCCTGGATTGGCAGGCCCTGCTCACAGTCACTCACACCCTAGTCACCTCCAAATTGAACTACTGCAATACGGTCTACATGGGGCTGCCCTTGAAGAGTATCCGGAAGCTTCAGCTGGTTCACAATGCACCGGCGCAGGCAGTTATGTGCACTCCAAGAAAAGTGCATGTTACACCTCTGTTCCACAAGCTGCAGTGGTTGCCAGTTTGTTTCCAGGTCCAATTCAAGGTACTGGTTTCAACCTTTAAAGCCATTCATGGCATGGGACCAGGCTATTTGAGGGACTGCCTCTCCCCGATTATATCAGCCCGCCCCATCAGATCATGAAGAGAAGGCATGCTGAGGGCACCATCTGCTAAGGACCTGCATTTGGTGGGTTCCAGGAGATGTGCCTTCTCTGCTGTGGCGGTCACCTTATGGAACATCCTTCCTCCCGAGATTAGATTACCCCCATCCCTTTTGCTATTCCGAAAGGCCCTCAAGACCTGGTTATGTGATCAGGCCTGGGGCTCCCAGGGAACCAGAGACCTGCTTAGATGGGTCCATGGCTGAGGGGGGCATTTTTATTTTCCCTTCCCCTATGGTTTTTTATTTCTGTTTTTTTATGGTTTTTATTAATGTGGTTTTTTATATTTCTTCTGTTGTTTTTATGTCTTTTTATCTGACTGTTGTACGCCACCCAGAGTCGCTTTGGTGAGATGGGCAGGCTATAGAAGTTTGCTAAATAAATAAATCTTGAAAACAAAATGGACACTATACCTAACAATTAACTCTAAGTAATTCATTTTATGAATAAGGTTCCGTTCACCTCCGTGAGGAGCAAGCAAACAGACCCTTCCCAGGCCTGCTGTCTCTGCCTTTCAGCTGTTCCTTGAACCCCCTCCTGGAACCAAACTTGTGATTGCTTGGGTTCGTTGCCTATGGCCAGGACAGGCAGCCTCCCCAGCAGGGAAATGAAATGCTTCACCTGCTTTCTCAGGGATCTGGAATACAAACGGGATTAGGGGCTTCCCAACAGGACCTTAAATAAGTCACCACCACTGCTGAATTTTGCAAGGAAGGCAACGCCTATATTTCTAATTTATAGATTTCAGTTGCAAAGGCCTGAAATGTATAAATTGGATGCCCATCTGATGCTTGTCAGCTCCCATTATTCCCCTTGTTTATAATACCCAATATGATGAAAAATCAAATATCTGTAATGCAAATGGTTGCAAGTACACTGAGATATACCAAAAAGACACTGTGAACCCTTGATTTAAATTACACATCCTGATATAGATGCAACATAGAGCAAATCCTGAACTTAATCCATCACTTATTAAGCTGAGAAAGCTAAGCAACATAACCCATGTGAGAGATCCAGTATGGCAAAGGAATGTGCCCAAGGACATGTATTTGACAGATTGGGTACCATATTCCTAGTACAGGCAGTCCTTGTTTAGCCACAGTAATTGGAACTGGCAACTCCATCGCTAAGCAACATGGTCATGAAGCACAATGTTATGATGGAAATTCTGGCCCTTCCTGTTGCTGTCGTTAGCAAATCCCACATGGTCATTAGGAGTGATGTCATGTGCTTGCCATTTGCAACCTCTTGCTGGCTTCCCTGTTGACTTTGCTTGTGGGAAGCCAGAGGGAAAGTTGTAAATGGTGATCATGTGACCACAGGACACTGCGACATCATAATTGCAAGCTGGTCGCCAAGCGCCCAAATTGCGATCACGTGACGGGACACTGCAATGGCCTCAACTATGAGGACTGTTGTAAGTCTCCTCGTTCAGCACCGTCCTAAATTTGAATGATTGCTGAACAAGTGTTTGCTAAGTGAGGACTACCTGTATATAAAATCCTCCAAGATTTAATGGTTCTCCTTGCCTATAACTCCAAATGGCCTTCAAAATAGTAATGGTCATCTTGTTTTCCAAGATAAAAAATCTTTGATAATATTTCTCCAGGAATGTTTTGGAATTATGATATTTGTTCATCCAGTTTTCTTCTCTGTGAGCAAGGAGGATTCTTCTTCAAAAACTGGATAAAAACACAAGGACGATAACACACAAGACACATATAACAGCAGAGATAATGCGTGCATTTGGCATAGAACAGATTTGACTGCAGCACAAAGAAACCCATATATAGAGAGAGGGAATTCTCCTTGATGACGGGTTCCCAACAATGCTTTCTTTTGTAATTGATCAGAAAAACTACAGGAAAAAGGCAAAGAGTTACTGTGTAAATAATTTCCATTAAGCATGGGTGGTTTTGCTCATAATTTTGCAACTTCACAGCAATTTCTCTGACCTTCCTTAACTTTTACAAACTGATGTGGAAATCGGTGAATGTCATAAACTGTTCCCAGTTCGCCTCATGTTTTATTTCTACTCCATTTATTGTCAGCTGTCCTGATGACTTACTAAAGAGGTGCGGTCTATGGTCTAGTAAATAACCCTGCCCACTGACTGGGGCTGGAGGTTGCAGAGACAAGGCTCTCTGGTAAGGTGGGATCCCGGGCAGGGCCTGGTGGCTTCCCTGGTAGCCCTTCTTTATGGGTCCGGTATATGGAGTGTCTTTAGCATGTGCCTTTGAATATCAGCATCTTCCAGCCCGCTCAAGTGAGTTGGTTTGGCCATGAAAATATGCTATGCTTTCCTCTCCTCCTCCTTTTAATAGGTTCAAAAAATGCAAAGATTCAGTGTGGTCTGTTTGGCAAGGGAGCAGCCTACTCACGCCATAACGCTGAGCGACTTTTTAGGAAGCTGGTGCTGGACAAGATTCTGGATGAAGATCTGTACATTACTGCTAAGGATCAAGCGGTAGCGTACATCCAGCTGGGGGAAAAAGCTGGTGCTGTGCTGAATGGCTCCTTGCAGGTGCGTGACTGCAGTCCGAGCTGCCTGAATTTCTTCTGGTCCCTCAGTACAGACTGAGAACCTGAAACTGCAGAGAAATGGTTCAGAAAAACTGAGAACAGCAAAGGCGGCTGCTGAGAAAGGGCTTCCCTGTTGTCACCTATCAGTTGTGCTGAACTGTTCCCTCTTCTTTCTTCTCTTATAAAGGACATTTTGGAAGCTTTCTTATTTTTAATTGTACACCAAAATGCCCTTTCGTGTCCTTTAGGTAGAGTTCTGTGAAACAGAAAGTGCCAGCAATATTCGCAAGCAGAGGGCTTTGGAGACCAAGATGTCTCAACGGGAAGAGATGGTTAAGAAATGTCTCTCTGAACTCACAGATGTCTGCAAAAACCTTGGGAAAGTTTTTAATATCCACTATTTTAATATTTTTAACACTGCCACATTAAAAAGAATAGCAGGTAAGGTATATCTTCATGGAAAACATCTATATTATGTAGTGGATGATATGTCCTATGTGTTGCAATAGAAATAACAAGCTTGTGTTATCCTAAATATCATGTCACTGACATGCCAAAAGTAGAGTTTCCAACACATCAGTGCAGAGCTCAGGTTTATGTAAGTTAAATGCAATGTTTGTTCAAATAGCAGTCCTTGGCAAGTTGTTCTTCCTTTATTTGCTATCTCATCCCACCTTTTTTCTCACTTGCTTTCTCTGCTTGATGAGTTTGAATCAGGTAAGAAAAGGCCACGATACCTGATGACATAAAAAATCTGTTATTTGGTAAGGTGCTATAAGAGTTGTAAAATCTGTCTTCATATTTTCCAGCTTTTCTATAGCCATGGCTCCATTTCATGTAGAATGTCTTTGCCTCTATTTGACGGCCTTCAGGCCTATTGGGTGATAATGTTCTCAATGAAGTCAGCCATACTTCTGATGTCATTGGGTGCTGACAGGGTGTTGGAAGGTCAAAACACATCCTAGAAGGCAGTGGTGGCTTTTCTGTATTGTGGATTAATAGGGATGTTCCATTAAGTCAACAGGGTGCCATTTACAGCAGATGGCCAGCATCTAGCTCACTTGGCTGATCTCAAAAAAGCTAAGCAGGGTTGGATCTGATTAGACTCGGAATGCAGACCACCAGGACTGTAGCCTAAACTGGGAAGTCCAAAAAGTATCTTGGACGACAGGGATGGCAAACCAGTTTGATATTGGGGATGCCAAGAAAGCTGTGTTGAGGTGTCCAGGTCATTTAACGACTTCACTGTTACTTTGGTTGCTGTGTCCCACTCTTGCTGGTGGCTGCTTGGGCCATGTAATGTTAGAACAAAATTCCTAATAGCATTTTTCCTTACTATTTCACATGTACTAAAAACTTGTTAATATCTATATTCTAGCTGTTTATTTGATCAAACTCAGTTTTTTAAATTGTGCTTTATTAAATAACTTAGAGTGATGGCTATACAATACAAATTTAAGACAGAAAGAAAAAAGAGACAAAAGCTGAAGATCTGACGCATTTGAAAAAGGATTTTTTTTTTCCAGAGACATTGTCTTCAGACCCAGCAGTGTTGCTTCAGATTGATGGTGTTACAGAGGACAAATTAGAGAAGTATGGAGCAGAAATAATAGGAGTGATGCAGAAGTATTGTGCAAAGACACTACCAGGTACTTAAATAACTTTCTTTACTTAAAAGATGTAGGCTGATCACACTGAAAGAGAATCTTGTCTGAAAGGTTACCTTTAGGCCCTGTTGACTCTCTTCCTTATCAGTAACCCAGCTCAACTGCTTTGGCTGATACAAACCCCTCAGATGTTTTGGTGGCAGTCATGCAAATGTGATCCCTAATGCAGAAATGCTGTCAGAACTAAGAAAAAAGCTTTAGGAATAAAAAGCTTTTTTCTTAGTTAAGGGAGTTTAAGAAATATTAAGGAATGTAGGGTTTTTTCTCCACAGCTGAAAAGAAGCCTCTCTCAGCCACAGAGACCGATGCTAGCAGACACGACAGCGCGGATGAGGCAGAAGAGGCAACGTGTGCAGCCTCTAACTATTTCCAAACAAAAAATGGCAAGGGAAGGAAGAGAAAGAAGTCCCATTTTTTTAGAGAATCAAAGAAGAAAAAAGCTGGATCTGGGGGACAGCAAGCTTCTTCTAAGGGGTATGTTTTCTGATTCTCCATCAAGTTTGATTAAAACTGTGACATAATGCTAATTAAGCACGTTTTAACTATTTCATCATGAAAAGTTCCTTGTAGTTATCCACACTACTGGCACGTGTTGGGTTCTGACATAGACAGTAGCTTGGAATCCTTTAATTTTCAGTCATTTCACACAACAGTTAACTGGCTGCGCCTCCCCTTTTCCCCCTCGCCCTGTTGTAACAGCCAGGGCAGTATGAATATCGCATGAGCACTGAGGATTCAGAAAAGGTGTTGAGAATGAAACTCTCGTTTTTCAGATGCTGGGAAAAGGAGTCTCGCTGTTGGTGCCACTATACAAATGTTTCCTTTATCCACGTGCAAAGGAGCATTTAACTAAACTGCATGGCTTAAGGCTCAAGTCTGATGTGATTTTTGAAACCTTAGATATATGAAGATGTCACATTTACAGCGGTATTCTAGTGGTCTGTTTTTTCTTCTCTCTTCCAGGAGTTACAAAATCTACAAAGACGCCTCATCCACTTCGAAAAGTTCTACATCCTGCACGTTTCCAGGCAAACTAGGAGTCGGCAAGAGGCCTGGAATCATGGCCCCACCAAAGCCCCAAAACAGACGATACCTTAAACCCTCTTACGTGCTTTCGGGATGCCCTTGAAGTTATTTTCATTTTTATGAATGTTATTCGGCATAAAAGTATTAAATTTTTCACTGACTTTTATACTAAATTCCCATGCTTCATCGCTTGCTTGGACCTAACATAATAAGGAAGACGTTTAAATTAGGGCGCGCCTTGCGAGCTGCAGCATAAACAGACCCTTTGAGTTGTGCTGCAGAGCCCCGGCCACGCGCAGCGAAGGCCCGGCGGAGCAGGGATCCAACGGTG